AGGAGAGTAGGCCAAGAAAGTTACTAGCAAAATAAAAGGATTAATTAAGGCAAGATCACCTTCCCTTACAAGGAAGATCAGGGGATCTTATTTTGCATACCACTCTTCCTTTGGAGACGAAGATGGCCTATGTGGCAAGTCATCTCATTGATGCTGACCAGAAAATTCCTGACCAGTTAAGACTGTGTTTCTGGTGGAGGTTGAATTAGGGGTTAAGTTCCAGTTTACTGAGTGGAACTGAATAAACTGTCATAAGATTTTGGGCCTGTGATTTTCTTTTCTTTCTTTCTTTTTTTTTTTTTTTTTTTTGGTAGAGTCTTGAGGGTTTTCTATTTATAGTATGTATTTATTTATATATATAGTATATATAGTATAGTATTTATAGTATCATGTCATCTGCAAATAGTTTTACTTCTTCCTTACCAGTTTGGATGCTTTTCTTTTTCTTGTCTGATTGCTGTGGCTAGAATGTCCAGTACTATACTGAATAAAAGTGGAGAGCGTGGACATCCTTTTCTTGTTGCTATTCTTGGGTAAAAGCTTTTAGTTTTTCACTATTAAGTATGATGTAAGCTATGGGTTTGTTATAATGGTCTTTATTATGTTTCTTCTATGCCTTCTTTGTTGAGAGATTTTATGAATGGATATTGAATTTTGTCAAATGCTTTTTCTGCATCTATTAAAATGATCATATGCTTTTTATCTTTCATTTTCTTAATGTGGTTTATCTTGTTAATTTATTTGCAAATACTAAATCACTGGAATACATTTCATTGGGTTGTGTTAAATGATCCTCTTAATGTATTTTTTGAATTTGGTTTGCTAATATTTTGTTGAGGACTTTTGTAACTATGTTACTCAGAGGCACTGGTCTGTAATTTTTTTTCGTAGTATCTTTGTCTGGTTTGGATATCAGGTTAATGCTGGCTTCCTAGACTGACTGGAGCCTTTCTTCCTCTTGTATTTATTTGGAATAGTTTGAGAAGTATATGTATTAACTTGTCTGTAAACGTTAAGTAGGATGGACCAATGATGTCATCTGGTCCTGCACTTTTGTTTGTGGGGAGATTTTTTTTCTTAACCGACTTGACTTGGTTACTACTAATCAGTCTTTATAGATAGTCTATTTCATCCTGATTCAGTCTTAGAAGTTTGTGTTTTTTTCACATCTCCTAGCTTATCCAGTTTGTTGAAAGATAATATTGTTCTTAATAGTCTCTTAAAATCTTTTGTATTTCTTTGGTGTTAGTTTTAACTTTTCTTTCACTGCTGATTTTATTTGAATTTCTTTTTATCTTGAGTAGTCTGACTAAAGGTTTGTCACTATTTTTAAAAATCTTTTCCAAGAATCTGCTCTTAGTTTCATTGATCTTTTCTATTATTTTTTTTAGTTTTATTTCTGTTCTGATCTTTAGTATTTCCTTCCTTCTAAGAGCTGCTTTTGCTATAGCCCAAACATTTTGAACTGTAGTGTTTATGCTTTAATTTCTCTCCAGGTATTTTTTGATTCCCTCTTTGATTTCTTGATTGACATTTTGGATGTGTAGTAGCATATTATTTAGCCTCCATTGTTTGTATTTTTTCCAGTTCTTAAAATTGATTTCTAGTTTCTTACCATTATTTGTTAGACTACAGATTTTTTAATATTAAATAAATTTAATACTTCTGCAGTACTCACTAGTTATGTATTACATATAAGCACATTGTATAAATACACAAACACACACACACATACAAATTTATTCATGGGTTTAATATTTGTATAGGATCTTTGTGCTCATGATCATAGGAAATATTTGGTTGTAATCTTTCTTGTAAAGTCTTTGTCAGGTTCTGGTCTCGTTTCAGCACCATTTTGGCTTCAAAAAATAAATATTGTTTTGTCTATTTCCTGGGGGTACTGGTTTACAATTTGTATTGTTTTCTCCTCAGTGTTTGGAAGCATTTGCTTTTGGTTCTGTATTCCATTTATTCTCAACCCCTGGTGACTGCTAATCTCATTGCTGTTTCTATGGCTTGCCCATTCTGGACATTTCACAAAAATAGAATCATATAATAGATGATCTTTTTGTGACAGCCTTCTTTATCTTACTGTAATGTTTTCAAGGTTCATCTATATTGTAGCATGTGGAATTCTGTCAAATAATTTTCAGTTGTATGTGTATACTATATCCATCCATCATTTGATGGACAATTAGGTTGTTGCCATTTTAGTATGAATAACATTGTTATGAATACCCACATAAAAGATTTTGTGAAAATGTTTTGTGCAAATATATGTAGCTAGGATTGAATGGCTGGATCATATGCTAACTGTGTTTAACTTTTTGAGAAACTGTACAACTGTTTTTCCGAAGTGACTTCACCATTTCATATCCTCATCAACATGAGGGTCCCAATTTCTCTAATCTTTGCCAACACTTATCTTCTTTGATTTTTAAATATCCTAGTGGGTGTGACATGCTTATTTTGTGATTTTGATTTTGCTTAATGGCTATATGTTGAGCATCTTTTCATGTGTTTACTAGATGGGCATTTATGTATCATCTTTGGAGATAAAGCTCTTCAAATCATTTGCCCCCTGAAAACTACTTATTTGAATATTGCATTCTTTATATTTTCTAGATACAGATTCTCTGATACATATGGTTTCTCCCCATAGAATGGGGAGAAAATATTTATGTTCTTCATATGGCCCTTTGACACACAAAGGTTTTAGTTTTGGTGAAGTCCAATCTTGCTGTATTTGGTATTTTGAGAAACCATACTATGGGTTCAAGCTCATTAAGACTTACTCCTGTGTCTTCTAGGAATTTTATAGTTTCAGCTCTTACAATTGGACCTCTGATCATTTTAAGTTATGTTTTGCATATGGTGTGAGGTAGGAGTACAAATTCATTCTTTTGTATGTGAATACATCTTTTTATCTTGTTTACTTTCTTTGGTTTATTTTGAGTTTGTTTTGAGATGAAAGCTTAGCTTTCCAATTTTCAAACCTTTCTTTTAATAATATATTTAAAGCCATTCATTTCCAAGCATTGCTATAGTCATGTCCATAATTTTTGCAGTTTTATTTTCATTCAGTAAAACATGTTCTAAATTCTAATTTCCCTTTGACCCTCGGGTTATTCAGAAATGTGCTGCTTAATTACCCAACTTTGGGGGTTTCTCTAGACTGCTTTATGGCCCAGCATATGGTTGATCTTGGTAAGCATCTCACATACATGTGGAAGGAAAATGTATCCACAGCTTTATGTGTTCCATATCTGTCCCTTAGACGGAGCTAAGGTCCAGTCATGTGAGTAAAGATCCCTCCATTCTCTAAGCTGAGACTCTAGATTGAGAAGCAGATAAGCCCTCCCTACTGTGCTGTTTAAAGTCCACAGCCTAAGAATTTGTAAAACAATTGTTTTATGTCATGAAGTTTTTGGGATGGTTTGTTATATAATAATCGTAAAAAGTAAGCACTATTTTGTAGGCTCAATGTTTATGAGAAAATCTATGCTTCTTCATAATCCTATGGAATTTGGGACCAGAGTTAGCACATCGTGTTTTATATACATTTGGAAGCAGCCAACATTAATAACAAAGACATTGTACAGCTGTAATTCTAGTAGCTAGTATCACACTCTTGAACACAATATCACCAAAAATCATACATAAAATCTTCCACTTTTTTCTTATGCTATAAACCTCCTTATACTAGAACTGTTAACATTTATAAAAATAAAATTTAAGTAAAACCCCAAATTCACAGAGCCAATACAAACATATCATATTCAGCTAAATAATGAAGGTAAAATTTAGGTGGTTTTTTTAAAGATTTTATTTGAGAGTGGGAGTGAGAGAGATGAAGCAGGCCACGCTAAGCAAGAGCCCAACGTGGGGCTCAATTCCAGGAGCCTGAGAACATGACCTGAGTTGAAGGCAGACGCTTAACCAACTGAGCCACACAGGTGTCCATGAAATTCAGTTCCTAAATTCCTAAAAGTACACTTGACAAATGCTTCTCAAGTGAAGGAAAGAAAGTATTTCTAGCTATTCACCTTTTAAATTGCTGGGCAACAAACTTACTGAAATAAAGTAAAATCTCTCTCTAAAATAAACAGGATGGGGCTTTCTGTAACTTTGCCTCCTGAGCTTCTAGTGCTCCTGGCTGTACAAGTAAGTTATAGAACTCTTTTGTCAGGGTACAGTTTGGTCTCCTTTTCAAGGTTGTAGAAGTCCATTAGGCATTTGTTCTATGATGTAGTCTAAGGACTGGTGGGCAGAAACACCGTTAAGTATTAGCTTCTTTTGAGTCACTAATGTAAAAAATGCCAAGCCACAGTTAAAGAAAAAAAAGTGTTTATTTAGACCATCCACCAGGATCATAATAAATAATGCAATATACTAATGTAATAACAGATGTTCTCATGCATTTATCACATAAATATACAAGAAAACTGGCTTACAGGGCTGCTGGGACAAATTTGGGCAAGTGTATTTGGCAATATAGTGAGTTAACAGTGTTAAGACTATCAAACAGATTCTCTTATCATTTTTTTTGAAATACATCCTCTATATATCAGTGAATAAATGGTAATGTTCCCTTATAGTTTCTACTTTTTATAAACATGCCAGAGCTAAGCCAATTGGCAAAAAATCCAGGTTGATAATTTATCAGTATTCCTAATGGAAACCAGATTTTAGAGAAGAAACAACAAAGATTTAACTCTTGTGCATTTCAATGTGGAGGCTGATAGACTGCAAGCCAGAATCATTGAAACCATAAAATATGTCTGAATGAAATAAAAACCCAAAGTAGCTTATAAATAGTAACTTTGATACTCAATATACAAATGCTGTATAGTATTAGGATGTTTATAATTCAATAAATGACCAATTATCTGACTGTAAAAGTGACGAACTCTGATTAAAGCTTAGTTTTGCTAGTAAATTTCACACAAAGACTTAAAATAGGGTAACCTTTAACATAAAGCAAATAATTTAAACATATCTTAAACACTGAAAATGTGTTTTTAATTGTTATTTACAGTTAATCAGTGATACCAGTGTATAGCTTCATGTAGCCAACTGCCAGTCTTGCATCCCTCTTTCAACATCTGCTATTACAATCTTCCTTATAAATAGGCAAATTAGTTTAGTGAAGGAGAGCGATCTGTGGTCCACAGTAATTCAATGTATGGCCATTTGGTTTGGAGACAGCGTTTAATGGGAGTGTCATCTGTTTGTAGCATAGGATCTTCAAAACCCATAACAACTGCAGTTCCTTCAACATACATTACCTGTTGAACAAAGAAAGCCACAGAGGTCAGTCTTAAGAAGGACAGAAAACTTTGCATGGGCTAGCAAATAAGGCCTTGCATATAGTTTCATATGGAATTTTATATTTAATTTTATTTTGATAGATATTATGAGCACGAATATTTGCTTACTAGTTTATGTAGAAATATATTTGGAAACAAGATGGTGATACACATTTTAACTCATAGCTTGGCAGTTGATTTTTAGATATTAAGATCATGACTTAAAAAACATATGTGAACCCTAAAATACATGTTGTTTCTGATAAAGAAAAAATATCATCCTTTAAATAACATATATCAGTTGGAAGAAATGTTTATTTATATAATATAGTTCTTACTGCTTTAATATGGAGGCACTGGAATGGTCATGCTAGCTCATGAGATTAGAAGCTGTAATAGAAAAAGAGCTATATATTCAGAGGAGGAGTTCACCTTTTAAAATTTGAAAGTGTTAAAATTTCCACAGATAGGAGCAAACTGGATGTTTGTCAATGAAATGCTATTCATGACTGTAGTCCATATTACATGAAAAACCATGGGAAAAAAATTAAGAAGGCTGTCAGGACAGAAACAAAAATCAAACAGTAGGAAAAGTCTGGTAGGTAAAACTAGCCAGGTAGTTTATATACAGTGGTGATGATCCTATAAAATATACATGGGCAGATGGATACTAGAAACAAGTTTTATTCTGATTTAATTGCAAAAAACTTTTAGGACTGTCTGTGAAATAATATACTAATACCCTAACTCATTAAAAGAGCTCACTGTGTTTATTAAACAAGTCAGTCATTAATCTCTTTTTTTTGGAAGGGAAATTCCAAATGTATAATTTAAAAGGAATAGATACAGACTGTCTTCTTCCAAAGTATATGTATTTTTATATATTCAGTGTTTGGTACACATGATTGTTCTAATTATGTTCTTCCAATATAAAAGCTCTAATCTATCTGAGCATCCTAAAGAAATAACTTTATTAGTTTTAACTGGGAGTTTCCATATGATGAAATCAATTTAATACAATGAGACTACAACTCACATTTTTCAACTCTCCACAGTACAACTTCTTTTTCTGAAAAATGGTCCACAAAGCATTTAACTCAAGTTATTACAATTATCAGATAAAACAGGACCTATTTTATGGGCAAAATCTGATCTAGTAATAGCTATACAGCCGAGAGTAATAGAATGTATGTAAATGTAGCTGTTTTGTCACAGTGAAACTATTGTTCCAAAACACTAATGAAGATCTCAATGACTAACATATACTGATCAAATCAAAACACAACCAGTTCTGAAATATGCTGTAGCAGTAAAGAGAGTAAAAGACTCTCGGACAATTTTATGGGAATCAAACCTTGTTACAGACTCATATTTACCAAATTAAGGTGAAGACAAAATACTCTGAATGATCATACCTTCTCATTATAATTTGACTGCTTCAATCCATTGTAGTGATAGACAGTAAAAGACTCTGGACCACTGGAGCCCTATTATAAATAAAATACTATTAAAACTTTAAAGTTTACTTTTATACTTTGAAAGGAAAATGCAGTTGAAAGGAAAATTCAAGTTTCTTAAATCCATACACTTTGATGGGGGAATCATTTGCTGATGCAAGAAACTTAAGACCTTATCTACTAAAAACATAAAAACTGAACTAGGGGCTTCTGGGGAAGACACTGTAAAATGAGGAAGTACTGATATTTATTATAAGCTCTTCTGGTTTTTTTTTTTTTTAAAGGACAGGGTTCTAAAACACACAAATATTTCCTAAAATCTTACCTTTTTCTGGTTGTAAATAATTTGTTCCTCTCAATAAATGCATAAGAGTAGTAATGTCACTTTTCGTCAGCTTGCAAACATCTATGTACCAATATTTTCCATTGGCTTACAATGGAAAGGGGTTTCCACCCACCCTCCCCCCTCTAAATATTGTCAACTTCTAAACAGTGAAAAGAGCCTGGTGGGAAATGAAGATGTGAATTACAGTGCTTAGAGCCGTTAATAATATCCAATAAAGAAGTGAAATCCTATAAATTCCCATTTTACTAAACTTAGAGGAAATCTGATCATGTTAGCCTTCCTGCCTTAACCTTCTATTCTCAGTTAGCTAAAGATCAAGTCCAATTCTCTTAACCTCTTATTCAAGGCCATCAATGGTCTGGCCCCACCTAACGTACCCGGCTCCAGTGATTTCCCTCAGGGCCTAGGGCCTCGTGTCCCTTGCCTTATCTGACTGATATAAGGATATGCATGGGACAAAAGCTGGTCCTTGTCCGCATTAGAATTTGTTCCATTTTTGTAACTTAGAGAAGAGAGCTGCTGGCAACAGTGGCTTCAATTTTCTAGAGAAACCATGGGAGAGGGACAGACAGCCCCAGTCCTCCCTGCTTCAGTTCTTGAATGCCTATAAGCTGTTCCTCACAATTCTTACCTTTCCTTCCCACTTGTGTCAACTCAGGCTGTGATTTGCAACCAAGAATCCTAAAATACAGAACCAGTCTAGCTTTTATGCCATTTCTCCAACTACTCAGTTGTCTGACTTTTCTGTTGTAGACAAACATAATAGTCATTTTCCCATGAAAAGACTCTGTTGGGTATTTGTACATTCATTTTTTAAATTCTTGAAAATTGAGAAAAGAGATCTAATAAATTGGGGCACTTGGATGGCTCAGTCAGTTAAGTGTCTGCTTTCAGCTCAGGTCATGGTCCTGGGGTCCTGAGAAGGAGCCTTGCATCAGGCTTGCTGCTCAGCGGGGAGTCTGCTTTTCCCTCTGTCTCTTCCCCCCTACATGCTCTCTCTCCTCAAATAAATAAAATCTTAAAAAAAAAAAATCTAATAAATCTAAGCTTATAACTCTTGTATCTTACTCAAAATGCTTTCCAAAAAAATAGAAAAATAAAAAATGTGATCATTCTCTTAATTGCATACATAAGTTGATGGAATTAGTTACTTAGATAATTTGGCTGTTTCTTTTCAGAGTTAATGAACTTTAACTTAGAAAGTAAATATTTTACTGGAATAGATACACAATTTATATTCTTTAGTTCCACTCATGAACAACTGGCAGAAAATGCAAAATATCAACAGAAGGAAATTGTAACACAGCGGCACAGGACCGATCCGGGGCTGCTGAATTAGCCACTGTCTAGCTGTATGACCTCAAGCGATTGTTTTATATTCTCTAATCCTCAATTTCCTTATTGCCAAAATGGAGGGGAAATAGTACCTAATTTATAAGGCACACAGTACCTGGGCCATAGTTATGAGCTTTAAAAAAATGGTAGTTGCTTCTGCTATTCTTATTGTAAATAAATTCAAGGCAATGCTTCTGTATTCCTCCGCAGACCCCCAACCTCCTCCCTCTCCATTCTGCCTCTCCTTTAGGCAAAGAAGTTGCTCTTCCCTCGCACCTACTTTAAATGTTTGTAGAGATCACTGAAGGTAGACCAGTATTTCCCGGGCTGCCCTTCTGACCCATTTTGCAACTTTACTTGATTAAAGGTTTACTGAGTTTCACAAAACTGGTCAGGTACAAAGCAGTATAAAGAGGTCTCAGTGGTGTGGGCCGTGGTCGGAAGAGATACGCCACAGAAAGTTGAAAAGCAGGTGAGTGGGCGGGACTGTGCCCCGTCCTTCTCTGAAGCAGCAAGTCTCCAACTCTGGCACCATGAGAATCCCCTGGAGGAGGGACTGAGAAATTGCATTTCTAACAAGCTTTTGGAGATGAAAGACCAGGGAACTAAAATTCTCTTTAATTATCTAAAGGAATAATACAATTAAAAATTTAATTTATTGAACTAATAAGTTCTTAGAATATTTGTAAGTACTATCATGTGATGAACTGCATCTGAGATACAGATTTCCAAGAGTTGGTAACTATCCCACTTGGTTTATATTTCCCAAGCACTTTTCAAAATCTGCCCCCAAACTTAGTGCAATAATTTTTAATTTAATGTTATAAAGTTAATGCTATAATTTACTAAACATTTAAGATATTTAAGAGAGAGAGGATATCACAATCCAATAGTCGTTTTAATAATGTCAGAAAAAAGTTTTTCATGAAGCATTTACCAAAATTTACCAAAAGACATCTAGCTATTCTGTTATATACTTACTTTGAATTTCACCTCACTTTCTTTACTCGCATTAACCATAACAGATCTAGATTTAGAAAATATGGGTTCTCTTTTAATTACCAAGACTGAGTGTCAGTAATGTCTACTCTGTTAAAGATAATTTAGACCTAAAACATAAAATTAACATCTCTATCTTGACCTTTTCCCTCCATGACTTTAAGCTTGCCAGTACATCTCCTTAATAAAAGAGAGGTGAAATAGAAATTGGCATTTCTACTGAAACACAGATCTTTAACTTAAACTATGATGGTATCTGATGAAATGATCCCACTATACCTGGCCTAAATTTGGCATCTGGTTTAGCAGTAACATCCTTCACTGAGCTAGGAAACACGAAGAAAAGACAGGCATGGGCTACAGAACTGGCTTTGTCACGGATGTAGTGGTGACTCAGGAGTATGGAGACTAGCACCTGTCGAAACCCAGTGGAAGACATGTCCTAACATGAAACAGTACAGCTCCACTCCAAGGTTCTACTTTCACTTAACTAAAATTCTCCTGCAACTTAGGTGTTTCCCCTGCACAGACTCCTTTACCTTCTCTATTTATTTACATGTATTTTAAAAGTTCCGAAAAGATAAGTACCATCTATGAGTAACAGTGACCTGAGAGAAGGAAAATAGGGTGCAGGTGGGTAAAGAGGGTCTTTCTCTTCTTACTGCACATACTTGTCATTGTTACAGCTCCTTTAAAAACCAGTACCCTATTTTGTATGTGCTGGTGCTTGCTCGCTCTTCCACTTTCCCCTCCCCAGAAATTCTGCATTACTGTACTGGAACACACACACCCTTTTATCCTCTCTGTATGGGGAAGTATTTACATCATAACAGCGCTTTCTTCGTCTTCTAGCTGCATGTTATACCATTTTACATGAGTAGAAAAGAAATGCTGAAACAATCATGAAATGTTCATCCCAGGAGAAAAAACATATAGTTGTGTCTTCAATTATGTTACCTGATCGGGAAAAAATTCTTGAAGGAATGGACCCAATAAGATGATTCCTAATCCTTCCGGGTCTAGTTTATTCTTCATGAGATTGATACTATGGGGAGGGAAAAAAAAAAGAAAAGCAGTGGATACCAAAGGAGAAAAAGCTTATTTTCCTTCTTTCATAGAGATTAAATGAGTAGTACTATAACACATCTCACTGCCAAAAATCTTAAGAGCTGTTCTTTTTAGACCTTTAGTGACAAATACACAGGAATGACATCTAATTTGCCAAAACTTGGTTATTTTTAAACCAGAGTACTCTGTTACTATTTAGAATTTAAATGATGATGACGACTTTGAAACATTGCCCCTTATTAGGTAAAGTAATTTAAAAAGCTTGGGTTGTAAACGCAGGCTTATAACCTCCCAAAGGCAATTCTCTTTGCTTTATAGGTATGCCTGAATTTAACAATCATATGAGCCACTGAACTTAAAAAAAAATGTTTAAGCTCAAAGAGAAAAAGAAACCGTGTCAAAGGCACATCAGATAATCAAAAACATCTCCCAAAAGGCTTACTTTCAAGAACCAAATGCAAAGGCAGCTAAAATTTAGACACTGTAACTGAAGGGTATAGGGTGAAGAGGTACAGAATGCTGAAGTGTAGTGAATGACCATGAGAGGTGTGGACTACGTTGTTCCAAGAGCAGCCTACAGTGAACATGCTTTGCTTAGCCCTTGCCATTTAGGTGGAGCCAAGGCTGGTGAAAGGGGTTACGTGGGACTAGGAAGGCAGAGTTGTAAAAATGAAAATGGTCTTTGCAGAAAATTTTCATTTTCCATGTTCTCTCCCAGATCTTTTTTTTTTTTTTTAAGATTTTATTTATTTGACAGGCAGAGATCACAAGTAGGCAGAGAGAGGTGGAAGCAGGCTCCCTCCTGAGCACAGAGCACAATGTGGGGCTCGATCCCAGAACCCAGGGATCATGAGCCAGAGGCAGAGGCTTTAACCCACTGAGCCACCCAGGCGCCCCTCTCTCCCAGATCTTACATGCCAGGTTAAATATACCTTGTTATATAATGCAAAGGATATGACGGTAGAGCGGGTCTGAGTAAGACTGGGCATGTTAGGTTAGATTAGGGCATGAAACAAATGAAGGCATGGTCATATTTAATGTATTTAATTCATTAATCTTTATGCGGTGCTATTTGTTTATAGGCCATCACATATTATAAATGTGAGTAGGCCAAAATACAGAATGAAAAACTCAGTCCAATTTGTCAGCTACCTCTAGGAAAAACAATCTAACTCAAGTGTACTAACTTTATAATTGAAGGTATGTTATGTATCCTGATGTAAAAGGGAAAATTAAGTAGATGATAGATAGCCACATACGTAAGAATTTGGGAAAAACAACAACTTTTTTTTCTGCTTTCCCTCTTAAGAATTGTCAACAATCAAAACTGCTTGAGTTCAATTCTCTTTTGCAAACTACAGTGATATAAACAAGATGGTTTCTATTTGGAAATCCATTTAGAAGAAATAACGATTTGCGATTTTACAAAATACATAATTATAATTATACCATTTATTGGACAAGTTCATTTTTCTGAATTAAGTTCTTCCTCTTTAAGTTAGAAACGATTATGTCTATTAAGAATGAATAATATCAGAGCTCTAGGAATAGATAAATTAATTCAGATGTGAGCAATTTGAAAATGTGTTTCATACTCTCAAAGAAAATGTAACAAGCTATCTAAAAACAGTTTTATATATCAAGTTCTAAAAACTGTGTGTACTTAAATGTTTGATGGTGCTTTTGCAAGCTCTAATTTGCTCATTGTCAGATAACTTTCAGACCGAAAATTAAAAACTACAGAAGGAAAAGTTAGTATAGATCATAGGTGATCTTTGTATTTTCATATTTGAGCAAAAGATGTATCCCCTTAAGAAAAGAGATTGTCATCGATACCAAAAAGCACACATTTATGAAAAGTTAGAGATGTATCAATGTACAAAGTATAAAAAGAGGACATTTAGCAATACTGAAAACTATATTCTGTAACATACCGGGATTGCTTACAAAGGTTTTAGGTCAATTTAATGATATACAATGTGCAATGTCTTCAATCAAATGTCTTTAAGACCAAGTCCGAAGCTTGCCGGTCCTTTAAGTGAGACGACTAGCAATATGGACATTATAGATAACTGTCATTACTTTCAGATATGCACAGAGTTTTAAAAATGGAGAAGGTTTTATAGTGAGAAAAAACAATAGGAAAAGCGTGGGGAAAAGGTCATTTTAAGTATGTTGAGTCTGCTATAAATACTGATACTATAAATACTGATTTCTCCTTACATCTTTGCTTTATATTAAGAACTAAGCTTCCTATACTCAGGTTTAGATTTTTTAAAAAGGCAAAACTGTGTCATGTTTTAAATGTGATAGACTCTTTCTGAGTCAGTTAAACAACACTTCCTATTTTGCTTACTATTCAGGATCAGAAACAAGGTCCAATGCTTTCATCACATCTTCTAGAAGTGAATCAGGTATGAATCCATTATCTGGGGGGAAAAATAGCATTAGCATCTTGAGTAAGAGTTTGCTTTAAGAAATGCTAGGAGAAAAGTCATGTGAGAGGCAACTGTGCCTATTATTAGATACTCTCCGACTTTTCTGGGCACAGAGGCAATGATTTATTTTTCTAATCAAAAAATTCCACATGACTTGTACCTGAGAATTCCCAGGAAACTTAAAAGTGAAATTACTCCTTAAAGAAGGTTATAAATGTCAAAGATAAAAGTATCTTTCTATTTAAAGTTATCGTAATTATTTAGTAATTAGGTATGTCTGAATAAAAATATGAACCTTTAAATTCCCTTTAAGAAAGCCAATTAAAATAAGTCTTTACCAACAAATTCCTTTAATTACAATGTCAGTTATAATGTCATTCTTTTTGAAAGAATGTTAATGATATGCTGCTCTAAGACCAAGAGCTATCCCTATAACAGACTTCATTTAAGTAAAAGCCATACACTTAAAGGGAAAAATTCAAAAGTTGAGATTCAGGACAGAAACAAACGGTTGATGAAGATGAGTTTATGGAAAGTATTCCTTTTCTTGGGCTTGCTGAGGAAATAGCATTGGGAAAGGGCCCAAACTCGGATGATGCAATAGCACATGACACACAAAGAAGGCGTGTAGGGGCATTTGAAATCACAGTTTTAACAAGCAAGTTCATTCCCTTAAATGTGCAGTGTCTGTGTTTCTCTACCCATTTACTCATTCCAGGAGACTATTTCAGCTTTAAATCAACTTTCCACACAATATCCTTTTCGGGAATTAGATATTTAAAAACAAAGTCTTGTCATGGAGAACAAGATGTACAAAAGGCCCACTTCTATCATACTCCAGAATACAGTGTAGTGGTTCTTTCAGGATGTGGCATATACTCTTTCAGAAAGGGAAGAAAGAAGTTAAGATTTTATGGTCTGAAACCTCTTAAGCAGATGCTTAGCCATTTGAAGAAAAATTGACCTTGACTAAAAGACAAAGAATCATTTAGGATATATAGATATAGATATAAATATAGATATAGGTACCTATATCTATATATTTTTTTAAAAAGATTTTACTTATTTATTTGACAGAGAGAGAGCACACACAAGCAGGGAGAGCAGTAGAGGGAGAAGCAGGCTCCCTGCTGAGCAGGGAGTCCAGTGCAGGACTTGATCCCAGGACCCCGAGATCATGCCCTGAGCCGAAGGTAGACACTTAACTGAGTCACCCGGGGCCCCCTTATTTAGGATAAGTAAAAATGTATAATTTTTAAAAGTGAAGGCTTAATTCCCAGTTTTCAAATTACCAGTAATCTGAGGTATAGAGAGTAAAGAACTTGTTTGAAGGTAAGTGTAAAAATATTCAAGCTTTGTAAGCTTAAATTTGATCAGTTTAAAAGGTAGAAAACGCATCTGTTTAGCTAAGTCACAGCTAAAACCTTAGCATTCAAAATGTAAAACAGGCTTTACTTGGCCACTAGTTGAAAGGGACAATTCTCTCCATAGGTTTCCTTGTTTTTTGGGCTAGGTGTATATCCACCTGATTAACAGTCCGTATTACAATGTTCCTAAGGAACCCTGAATGGTGGGCAGTCTTATCGCTTCTTAACGTAATTAGAGACTAAGCCAGGAGCTAACTGGCCCCATAAAGTAGGCAAACAAAAACTGGGACAACAAACAACCTTCTTCACTCAAACACGATTAACCTCAAGCATACATAGTCCAACATATTTTTAAGATACCTATGAGTATCTTAATCACACACATTCTTGAGAACAACAGTAACTACCAGTCCAGTGATTCTACATTTAGGGCATACGGTATTTTAAAGCTAGACTATAATTTTCATAATTCACTGAAGACTTTTATTATACCCCCGATTAGAAGGGGTGATTTGGACAATTGCTTACCTTTTTAAAACCTTTATTTTGATGTTACTTTATTCTTGAATTCATACCAAATAAAGTATCTGGCAAAATTTTTAGAAAAAGAAATGCTTAAGTCTGAAAGCAGATGAAGCTTAGGACATCTAGTATTTAGGCACCGACTTCCTGAGAGACGATGGAAGTAGATGCTGCAATGATAAGCCCTTGGTACCAACAACAGAGGAAAGACCGGCAAGAACCATTTGCTGACCAGTCACACCAGACCACAGCTCTAGACCTTGAATGCACGGGTAACGGGAGGAGGAGAGGACAAGAGAGTGCACCAGCTGTGATCTTAAGCAGGTAACATGTAAGTGTTCTGGTATGGTTAAATTGTGTTTAAAACACTTGAAAAGGGAAAAAGCTGTGTGTTTAGAAGAAAAAGAAGCTTTAACTTAACAGACTGTAAAAAGTGTCAAGTGGCTGAGAGGAGGAATAACTCAATGTAAAAAAGCACTGATGAAGGAGAGCGCAAGTGACAGTTAAGGGAGTCATTTCCCAAGAAGCTTCACCATTTGCACCAAATCCTGATTTCTGTTCTGAAAGACAAGGGAAGAAAAGGGAAAGCCTGGTCACTAGTTAAACTGTGCTGCAGGAGGAAAGCAAATCCCAGAATTAACAGAGAAAGCAGGAGACAACTTGTGAGAAGATGGAGGACGGGGGGCTGGAGGGGAACACGTTAGCTCTTAGGACTGTAACATTTTCAAACCACTGTAGGTGTGAGAGAGTCAAGTTTTTTGGGAATACAAAATAAAACGGAGATCTAAAAGTAAATTAATGCCAGTTTTAGTCAAATAATAAATTTTCTTTTACTAAATGATGTATTATACTTTACCTAACCTTATTATTAAAAATTTAATAACACATAGCTGCAATGTAATATAACCGGTAGAAAAAAGTACGCAACCTTTGTTCCCAGGCAAGGGAACGAAAAGGGTCCCCCGGCTTTTTTCCATATCTTTGTCAACACTTATTTTTTGCGTTTTTGATACCAGATAACTCTGACTGATGTGAGGTGACAGCTCATCATGATTTTAGGATATCATCATGAAGTTCGGACCTTGTCATGTTTCAGCGTTCCTTGGCCTTTGCCTTCATATTACTACTGGCTTGCTCGTCTGGCTCCCCAGTAGATGGGAGCGCCTGAGGAGGAAGGGCTGCCTGACACATGGCTGCCCAACAAGCAGTGTTATGTCTGACTGTTCAAGCTAGCCCGAACTTCAAGTTTCAACAAGGTACTCTGTTCAGGCACCATAGTTCAACCAAAAACACTGTGTAAGCACTTGAAAAATCAGAAAGAAAGGAGAAATTAATTTACAGGTTGGCCTGCAAAACCCCCTGTATTATGTGATAGAAAAGCTACAAAACATGGAGCAGAAGGAGGGCGGGGACGACACGGGTCGGGGTAGGTGGGGGTGGCAGGAGGGAAGCAGCAAGGGAACAGAGGAGAAAATGGCACCATTAAGAGGAATAGAGAGGACTGAACTGAACAAAAGGAATTTCTAGAGAATGCCTAAGGAATGATGAATAGGAAACAACCTCCAAGTCAAATTATTCTCAAGGCTACATAAATGCACACTAGAGTCAGAGTCACTGTATCTCAGAAACATAAGGGAATAGCATTTAAATGAGCTTAAATAGGCTAGCTTTAAATAGGCTTAAATTTTAGATTTGAAGTTCATACCTCATGATCCCCTTCACCCATTTCATGCCCCTCCAACGTCCTCTCATTTGGCCACCAGCAATCTGCTCTCCATGAGTCTGTTTCTCTTGTCACCCTTGTTGTTGTTGTATTGTTGGCTTGTTCCTTTGTTTTTTAGATTCCACATCTAAGTAAAATCATATGGTATTTTCCTTTGTCTGGCTTATTTCACTTAGCCTTATACCCTTTGGATCCATGTTGTTGTAAATGACAAGATCTCATTCTTTTTTATGGCTGAGTAATATTCCTGTATATATACCACATTTTAATCCATTCTTCTATAGACACTTGGATTGCTTCCATTATCTTGACTATTGTAAATAATGCTGCAGTAAACATAGGGGTGTCTATGTCTTTCTAAATCAATACTTTTTCTCGTAAATATCCAGAAATGGAATTACTGTGTCATGTAATACTTGTATTTTTAGTTTTTTCTGGAAATTCCATACTGCTGTCCACAATGCACCAGCCTATATTACCACTCCCACTGCATGAGGGTACCCCCCTTTTTTCCCCCCATATCCTTGTCAACACTTATTTCTTGCATTTTTGATACCAGATAATTCTGACCGATGTGAGGTGATATCTCATGATTTCAAGTTGCATTTCCTAAATTTCCATTTCCACTAATGTGATGTTGAGCATCTTTTCATCTGTATGTTGGCCATCTGTAGGTCTTTTTTGGACAATGTGTATAGAAGTGTTCTGCCCATTTTAAAATTGGATGATGTGCTTTTCTGATGTCGAATTGTAAGAATTCTTTATATATTTTGGATAATACTCCCTTATCAGATATATCATTTGCAAATACTTTCTCTCATTCAGGGTTGGCCTTTTTGTTTTGCTGGTTTCCTCTGCTGTGCAAAAGCCTTTTAGTTTGATGTAGATGCAATAGTTTTTGTTTTTGTTTCCCTTGAGGAGACAGATCCAGAAAAATATCGCTAAGGTTGATATCCAAATTACTGCCTATGTAGGTTTTCTGAGGGTTCATTTTTAGGAGTTTATGGTTTCAGGTCTCATATTTAAGTCTTTAATCCATTTTGCGTTTTTGTGTAGGGTTTAAGAAAGTCGTCCACTTTTCCCAGCACCATTTTAGAGATTGTCTTTTTCTTATCGTATATTCCTGCCTCCTTTGTCATAGTTTAATTGACCATATAAGCATGGGTTTATTTCTGGGCTCTCTATCCTGTTCCATTGGTACAGACCAATGCCATATCATACTGTTTGGATTATTATATAAAATCTAGAACTGTATTACCTCCAAGTTTGTTCATTTTCTCAAGCTTGCTGTGGCTTTTGAGGTTAATATGTACTTTAGGATGTTTTTTCTTCAAGTTGTATGAAAGCCACTATTGCTATTTTGATAGGGATTTCACTGA